CCATCCATCCATCCATCCATCCATCCATCTGCCCACCCGCCCACCCACCCACTCATTCATCTGCTCTATACATCTAGTTATTTGTGGTTCACCTAAACTGTGCCGATTACTGTGCAGGGCAATGATGGGGCTATAACAATGAATATAACAGTAGCTGATATTTACTGAGTGCTTACTCTGTCTGTCACTATGCTAAGCACTGGATATGTACTGCCTTATTTAATCTTCACAACAACCCAGAAAAGTATGACTTAATTCTTAGACAGGTGCTTACTGAGTAATATGTTAGGGATCATTCTGAGCCTTGTACCGTATGAACGAGGCAGGTAGAGACCCTGCCCACACAGAATTTAAATTCCAGTGGGAGATCCAGGGAATAAGGAAACACGTAATGTACCTGCAGGTTGAGCGAAATGTGATGCCAGAGAATAAAGTGAGATAAGCAGCTGATGGGGCCAGGAGGAAGAGGCTGTTTGAGATACGGTGTTCAAGGAGGGACTTTCTGAGTAGAAGATCTGAACAGGGGCCTTAGGGACAGAGCGCTTAAGAATATCTGGGGCAAGATTATTCTAGGCAGAAAGGAAAGCTGGTGCAAAGTCCGTGGTGGGCCCGAGCTGGGTGCATTCACAGAAGAGTTAAGAGGACCCCGTGGCTGGAGCGGACAGAGCAGAGGGGGGTAATGTACGGACATCACTGGGATTTGGTTTTAAATGTAATGGCAGTTGTGCAGGGAAATGCACTCTTCTGAACACAACTTAGCGAATCCTAATGCGAACACCTGTGTAGCCACCGTCCCAATCAAACTCTAGAACACCCCCATCCCTCCGGAAGGTTCCTTTATGCCTCCTTCCACCTCCCCCCACCCCCCATAGGTACACGCTGTTCTGACTTCTCTCACTGGAGAGTTTTGGTAAATGTTCTAGAAGTTTACCGTATAAACGGAATCCCGCAGTGTGTACTCTGTGCCGTCTGGCGTGTTGCACATGGTATCATGTTTTCTGAGCTCTGTCCACGTGGTTGCGACTAACAGGAGTTCATCTGTATTGATGAGAAGTAGCTCATCGTAGGACGATAGCACGGTTTTGTTCTCCCACCTTCCCAATTACGGACATTCGGGTTCCTTACAGTTTTTATTGTCGTTGTTGTGAACATTCACCTCCAAACGTTTGTGGACATAATGTTTCCATTTGTCTTGGGTAAACACTTAGGAGTGAAATTACTAGGTCATAAAGTAAGGGTGTTTTCATCTGGGAAAGCAAGTGCTAATCGTCCAACATGGGGGCACTGGTTTGTGCTCGCACTGGCGACGCATGAAGGTTCTGATGGCTCCACATCCTTGTTGGCATTTGACATTACCCGTTCTTTCGACGTTAGCCGTTCTATTGCTTGGGCGGCGGTACCCCACTGAGGTCCTAATCTTCATTTTCCCGATGACTAATGATATTATAAACCTTTTCATATGCTTATGGGCCATTCAGACGTATTCTTTTCTTTTTTTTTTTTTTTTTTTTAATGGAGTTGTCTTACCATTCGTGATCTGTAGTAGTTCTTTATATATTCTGGATACAAATCTTTTGTCATAAATCTGTAGGGAGAGTATTTCTTCTCAGCCTCTATATGTATTCCTGAAGGTGCCTTCTTATGAGCAGAAGCTTTGGATTTTGACTCAGTCTCATTTACCAGTGTTCAGTTTTTCATTTGGTGCCTTTTGTGACCTTTGGAAAAACTCCTGGTCTACCTCGACGTCACAAAGCCAGATTCCTATGCGTCGCTTTAGAAGCTTTATGATGTTGGATTTCACATTTAGGCCCGTGATTCATCTCAAATTAATTCTTGTGTGTGCATGAGACAGGGGACTGGGGTCATTTTGCCCTTAAGCGTCTCTGGTTGTTCAAGGCTGTCTGTTAAAACAACTTCTCCTTCCCCATTCAACAGCCTTGGGGCCTTCATCAAAAATCAAGATGGACTGTCTCTCTGGGTTCTATTTCTGAATTCTATTCTGTTTTGTCCATCTGTTCGTCTACCATTGGAAGGGCTGGGGTGGGTATGTATGTGTGTCACGATCTGATTTGTATCTTAAGCCGATCAATCAGCACGAAGAGCAGAATGGATGAGGGTGGGAGCGGAAAGACCAGCCTGGCGGCTGCGAAATCCAGGTGGGAACTGGGTGGTCGGAGAGGAAACCACCAGAAGCGGCAGATGTGGGGGCAGGTTCTTGAGGCTGGCTTAGACGCGGAGCATGGGAAAAGAGCGGGAAAAGCAAGCGACTCTGAGGGTTCAGGCTCTGCCAATGGGAAGAACGTAGTTGCCATCTACTGAGATGGGTTCTGGGACCACCAGGCATCCGTCTTCTTGTGGGGAGTAGTGTCTGAGCTGGGGGAGGACATCCCGGCAGAGGGAACAGCAGAGATCACGGGGAGGCTCTGGGCCGCCCTGGCCTGACCTTCAAAGTCCTGATCAGATGATTGGATTCTGTGTCCCGAGGTCACCTGCCCATCCTACTGCCTCCCCGCCGTGGCCAGACAGCAGGGTGTCCTCCACTCTCCCTCGCCCCGCCCCCCAGCTCATAGCACTCTCCCCTGGCCACAGCCCCAGCAGATGGCACAGTGGTGAAGAATGTGGGCCTGGGGTCGGACCTGGCTGGCTGACCTAAGGAGAGTTACTCCAAGCCTGGCTGGCTCCCCTCACTTGTGAAACGGGAATAATGACAGCGTCTCTCCCTGCCCCATAAGCTCACTGCACCTGTGCCAGGAGAACTTGTAGGCAAATCATCCTGCAGGGAGCCTGGCTCCTGATATTTATGAGCTTACAATTATTCTCTCCATTCAACAGGTCAGAAAACTGAGGCTCGGGGACCTGAGGCCTGAGATCCCACCAACAGACGGCAGCCAAGGTTGGATGGGAAGCCAGCCCGGGGGTCTGTGTCATCCGCCCGATCTGGCACCTGCGTCTTGGCAGCCTTGCAGTGTCCCCCGCTCCCCGCTTCCCCCGGGGGTGCACACACGTGACCACGCATGCCCACTGCCTGCGAAGGGGCCTTGCCCTTGCTCCGATGGGGGGGGCGGTGGGGTGCACGCCAGCACGGCTCCGGTCAAGGGAACCAGCTGCGATCAGGGACCGGGCAGGCGAGTCCTTAATCTGGCTTGGGGTGCGGGAGGGCAAGGGGGTGGGGCAGGCCAGGGGCAGCACCCCCTCATCACTGCGATGCGAGCTGTGAGCTGCACACTCACTTTTCCAGCTGCTCTCAAGTCCTTGTCTGGTCTTTTCCCGTGTCGGTGGGGGTGGGGCAGGGCACCATCCCAGGGAAGCCGAGCTTTGCTTGGGCAAGAGGGGCAGGGGACGGCTTTCCTGGGGGAAAAAGCGAAGGGGTGAGGCTGCTCTGCCTCCCAGCCCGGAGCAGATGGCATCCTGAGGTTCACATTCGCCAAAGGACAGTGGGAAGCGCGGGGGTCCGGAGAGGGTGGTAGGGGCAGGCTGCGGGTTGATGAGGTCCCAGCGCCTAGCACAGGGCCGGGCAGTAGGGGGAGCTCGTGAGGTCTCCAAGGAATGACACGCGGAAGTGCTCGGGGGCAGCTGCCCGAGACCACGGATGTGGCACAGTGAGAGGCTAAGAGCGAGGCTCTGGGGCCATAGTGTCCACCTTTGAACCCTCCTCTGCTTAATTACTCACTCAGCAAACTTCTCCGACTCACATATTCGCGATACTGACGGACCAAATTCCCCTGATTTCTAGTGTTCCTGACCCCGTCCAGCAAGCTCTCCTGACCTCCCTGTGACCACCCACGTTCCCCAGTCCAGCTCAGCAAACCTCCTTAAGAACCCCGGCCCTGATCTCTCGGCCTGCCCCGGACGCCTCCGTGCCCCACCCCTGCCCACGTCTGAGGTGGCCGGCGACCCAAGGACCCAAGGCTCCCTGCCCCCCAGCTCTGCAGGGTCCCCGCAGAGCGGCACCCACCAAGTCTTACCCAGCGTGACCTCTGCCTGCATGGGCATCGACAGCGCTGGGTGCTTGACCTCACAGCTGAAGAGGGCCTCATTGTCGATCTGTGGGTTGAGCGTCCAGGTGAGCAAGGCACGGACCTCCACGGTGCCGTCACTGCCCGGGGTGTGGCTGTGGCGCAGGAAGTAGATGGGCTCGGCGCTGTGGACCCAGCGCGGGAACTCGCGGCTCACCACCGTCTCTGGGACGTTCTCGGTGGTCGGCTGGAGGAGGACGCCGGGGTCTGGGGTCAGGCTGCGGGCAGGGCGCTCTGTGTAGGGGCGCCCGCCCCGGTTCTCGGCGTCCAGCAGAGACAGCGACCTCTGCATCTTGGTGTCATCTAGGTCACGGTGCAGGAGGCTGCGGAAAGGCCTGCTGTCCTGGAAGGGGCCAGAGCTTGCCTCCAGCGGCTCCGTCAGGGGCACGGCATCGATGGGTTCGCCATCGCGTTTGAAATAAACCTGAAATTACAAGGAGGGTGCACTGACGGTGGGACCTCAGAGGACCTGGCCACAGAATGCCCGTTCTTCCAAGGCCGCCTCCTCCTTCCGGATGGACTCTCCCTCATTCCTTTCCCTGCAGCACCCGAAGTACTCTGAGCCAGCTCAGGTCGAGGGGGACACACAGAGCTCCTAGTGGCAGAGGCCAAGCCCACCTCCGTCTTTACCAGCAGGCGAGCCTCTTGGAGCCCCAGTTTCCTTACCTGTAAAGGGGAGTAAGGACAGCTGCTCTGGGGGCTGTCGGATGCTTCAATGAAACAATGTACTGAAACAGGGGCCCAGGGCGCAGCCCCAGCAGCCACCTGGGCTGCGAGGGAGAGTCTGTGCCCACCTGGGGACAGCATTTGGACGAGGGAGAAGGTAGGAAGGCGCCTGAGAGGAAGTGAGCCATCCGAAGAAGAATGACGAGGAAGGGATGTCCGTGGGCGCGTTTTGGAGGTTTGCAACCAGAAGGAAGGAAACAGGTGCATGTGTGGGAGAGAGCGAGGTGTGGGGACAGGGTGAAAGCAAACATCTTCTCGCTTTCTCTAATGGGGAACCCAAGTTTTGAGAGGCGGCATTTAATTTAATTTGCTGTCTTTTATGTTGGTACGTGTGCCCAGAGGCCTGTGGGGATTGGGTGTATTTTTTAATAAATCAGGTAAATAAATCGATGGGAGACAGGGAGAGAGAGGAGGCAGGCTATTTGATGGGCGAAGTGCAGGTGAGGGGAGGGGAGGAGGATGGGAGGTGAGAGGAGGGGGGTCAGTGGAGAGGGAGGGGAGAGAGGGGGATGAAATGTGGGACCCGGAGAATCTGTCAGAGTTTATAGCTCCAGCGAAGGATCTCATATGCACATAATAGCCTGTCTGTTTTGGCTTTTTTTCTTTTCGCTTTTCTTTTTAGTGCAAGCCTCAAAAGCAGGTTTGTAATTTATACCAAAGAATTCTTTTAAGTTCTGATGTCCCAGGCAAACGTAAGATGCCAGGAATGCGGGGAATTAAGGATCTTGTGTGTGTGTGTGTGTGTGTGTGTGTGTGTGTGTGTGTAGAGAAATGTCTTTTACATCTATGTGCAACTATATATGTGTGTATATGAATATTGAATATTTTATTGCCATATCTTAAATGGCAGGAGCAGGCAGGGGTTGGGGGTGGGGAGTCTTCCTGCAGCCCCAGGGCCGTGGGGAGACTTTCTTTTGTGTCCTCTGGGAAAGAAGTTGTTCTTTGGAGAAAAAGACCAGCTTGTCTGATTTTAGAGAGGCCAGACCTCTTTATGGGCTCCAAAGGGGGAAACTTGGGGACCATTTCCTGCTCTCACCAATCGCTGGGGTTGAAGTTGCCTTTTTATCTATCTGTCTCCTTGGGACCATGAGGTATGGGTGCAGGGAGATGGGCCTTACCAAAGCCTTATTTAAGCACCCCTGTCTACTGCCCCACCTGTGTCTCTGCACACCTGCTTACTGCCCCACTTGTACCTATGCAACCTTGCTTACGGCCCCACCTGCGCCTGTGTGCACCTGGCCACTGCCCTGTATTGGGTTTCTCTGCACCTGTTTACTGCCCTGCCCTGAGAAGCTGGGTCTATCTAGGTCTAGATCCTGGGGTGAGACTGGCCTGGGTCCCCAGGTAACCCCACTGCACCACGCCTATGAGACAGAGTCTGGAATTCATTGTCTCCCACCTTGAACTCTAACCCTACCTATCCTCCGCTCGAGCCCAGCCCCTCACGAATCCTAGTGATACCTGAGACTCACAGTGTCAAGTGTATTATACAATTCTCTTGGAGGGAACCTTCACAGCACGTAGCGCGTGGATTCTCAATATGGGTTCAGGGAATCAAGGGTTCCACACAGGTGCTTCAGGGCTCCATAAGGGCAACCTGACCTTCCTTCACTCTTACATGTCTTACATGTGGGGCTGCGTCTATTTCATTTGGACCAAAGAGGTCCTGGTGCTCCGAAAAAAAGGCTGAAAATGTTAATGTTGTCCACTCCCTAAGCCTCTTTGCAGAAACTGGGAAGCAGAGGGGAATCTTTCTGCTTAAGGCAGGGCAGGGGCTAGAACCCAGTTCTCTATGTTAGCGCCCTCACCGCTTGAAGTGGCCATGACAATAATGCATGGGCTGGGCTGGCGGACCTCAAAGCAGTTAGGGTGGGTTGGAGTTGGTCCAAACAGGAATTCTCTCTCTTACCTTCCTTCCGGCCTTCCTCCCTTCCCTCCCTCCACAGTGGAATTGGAGCTGGAGGGCATGAACTTGAGTCCCACGTCTGTCAAGAACATTGTAGGTGACTCTGGACCCATCCCTTCCCCTCTCTGGGCCTCATTTGTCCCCATTCTGTCCGATAAGTGGGGCAGGGCTCTGCTTGATGCTGGGCTTCCCTAAGGACCCACTGTGCAGTTCTGGGACCCCAGGGTCCAGAAAAAGTGGGGTTCTGTGCTGGGATCTTAGGAGCAAGATCCCAAGGGTGGGTCAGATGAGTAGATGGGGTCAGACCAAGGCAGATGGCTCAAGGCAGGGGCTCTCACCCTCTCCCCTTTATTCTGCAAAGTGGACGCCACGGTGACATCTGCAGCTGGACAAGTCACAGGGCAGGGTGGCCCGGCAGGGACAGAGGAGGAGCTGGGCACTCCAGAGGTACTCACCATGGGCGCTGGTTTCCCTCCGGACACAATGCAGACCAGCGTGAAGTTCTGGGCTTGGTAGCGGCTGAAGGGGGCGGGCATGTCTGCGGCCATCACTTCGATGGAGGTGGGGGGAGCTACCCAAGAGGGAAGGACAGCGAAACAAAGGTTTAGTGGAAGATTCAGGAAGAGATCCCCTGAGATGGGCCAGGTCCCGTGCTGGGTGCGGGGAGCAGGAAGGGGAGGAGGGTTGCATGACTCCAGGTGGTGTTACTGGCACCAACTGCAGTCGGGACGATGTCCCTGCCGGGCACACAGACAAGGGCTCGGCCTCAAGGGGCCTACAGCCTGCTGGGAAGAAGGGCATGAATCAAGGGACCATACAGTTAAACGTGGGAAGCGCATCAGGTGCCGGGAGGTGTAACAGGAGGAAAGGGGCCCCTGTCCAAGTCTGAGCAAGTTCTGTGACCCGAGAAAGCAACCCGAGATAAAGGACAAGTGTGGCAGTTGGAGGGAACAGCATATGTGGAGGTCTGGAGCATGTCAGCCCGGGGCAGGCGGCAGGGGGAGGGCAAGGAGCTGGGGATGGGGGCGGAGGGGCCCTGGGAAGTGTGCGGAGTGCAAAGCAGAGCCGCTGACCGTAGGTTACGCTTGCAGTGGTGCGCTAGGGCCGGTTCCTAGCAGCGCCTGAGACCCAGATGTGCCATTTCCAGGACTGCTCTGGTAGCCTGAAATCGGCCACAGTAGGGAGCTTTATGCCACGGAAACTGGCCACCACCACAAACCAAGGCTTTTTGTGTGTTCTCTTCTCTGCCCCAGCCCCCCGAGAGGGTGTTTCCCAGTACACCACTGGTCATGCGTTTTCTTCTTTGTCTTGAGAGCAGTGGGGAGCCATTGAAAGTTTTAAGCAAGAGCAGCGCCACGATCAGGATTGATTTTGGACGCTGAAAACACACAGTGTGACTCAGGCTAGACGGGCTGTCCATTTAGAGCAGGGTGAGGGCAACAGAGAGTAGGTGACTTTGAGAGGCATTTAGGGCCAAGAGCTGCCTCTTTCCTTTCTTTCTGGAAGTTGGTGTATTTTGGCT